TTGTTAATTTTTAAAATAATTATTAAACAAAATTTTATTTTTATTATTTAAATAAAATTAAAAAATATAATTCATTATTTTCTTTAATAAAACGTTTTTTAAAGAAAAGTTTCTCTTAAATAATAAAATAAAATTAACATTTTAAATTATTAAATAAAATTAAATTTTTTTCAAAAATTCTTTGTTGATAAATGACTAAAATTTATTCAAAATTTCGTAATTTGTTACAAAAGACAAGAAAATTATAATAATTTTTAGACTTGTATGGAAAAGGAAAAAATAGCTTTGTTTAATTAACATCTTAATAAACACATTTTTATGTAAAAATTGAAATCTGTTTTTAAAAAAGCATATTCTAGTTTAAAAGGAAGAGAGGGTAAAAGCATGGAAATTAATAATTTCTTTAAAAAATTAACCCTTGGTAGCGTTGTAAGAAAACTCCAAATAAATTCTCAGATTTCTCGAATTTCTGGTTAATTTTTTAATAAATAAGGAATAATCTTTTAGTAATAAATTCCTAATTATTTAAAATAAAAATTGTAAAATTAAAATAAATTATTTATTTATATCTATTTTTCCTTTTGTTATCTTTTAATGTTTGGATTCTTGCCTTTGGCACAAAATTTTAATTTGCATTAATGCACATGAAACACTAAATATGGTTATTTTACTAAAAATAAAAAACACAAAAAATTTGGATGGAAAAATATTTGGAAAAATAATTGGAAATTAATAAAGAAATTTAAATACTACATAACTGTTTAGATTATCCTCAGAAAGGTTATATTTCCAACGGTTATCTTGTTTATGTTCAATCGCAAATAAACCAATTTAGCTAAAAATATTAAAGTCCTTATTGGAATATTCTTAATTTTTTTGTGTTAAACCAGTTGGAGAATCAAAAAATTGTTAAAACATGTAGCATAATTCTAGTTAAATTTAATACATTCTTTTAATTAAATTTAAAATTTTTGTGTGAAATTTTGCATATGAAATTAAATAAATTAAATTTAATTAAAATAATTAAGTATTCTCATATTTTGACAGATATTTTAGAAAAAATGAAAAAATTTGGCAACTTTTTTAAAAAATAAAATAAAAGAAATTTTATTTTTATTTTATTTCTTCATCCAATTTTCAATTAAATAAATCCAAAGCTTTTTAAGCAATCCATCAATTTTATATACAACAATTGCCCCAAGAGATTACAAAAAATATATTCTATGTAGATCAAAAATTGAATTAATTCTTTAAAAAATATTTTTATTTAAAAAAAGATTTTCTACTAGGTATTTTTTAAATGTGAGAACAATTTTAATAAATGGACTTTAATATTAAATTAATTTAAACTTAAAATAATATTTGATTAGGGAAAAGTGTAGAAATTTTTGTTAAATAATTAATAAAATTTTGTGAAACTAAAAAATGTTATTAAAAAATATGTAAGTTTCTAAAAATAAGAAATCACAAATGGGGTTTTACTTTAATTCGAATTTTTTAGAACCAATTTAATATTGTATATATCAGCTCTGTCGTTGATAGTTGTTAAAATTGGATTTATTGAGAGTAGAAATATTACAATTTATATTGTAAGGATGATTCACCTAGAGCATTTAAAACGCTTATTTGTTAGATGGGGGTTAAACGATCTAAAAGGATAAAAGAGAGAGGAGCATTAGTCGTCGCCCCTGTAGCTCAGTGGTAGAACAACTGCATTTGTGTGAGCAAGACCGAACGAGCACAGTCAACGTTGTTGCAGGTTCGAATCTTGTCCGGTGGATAAACTTTTGCTAAACTCTTTCTATATATTTGTAAAATAATAATATAATTACAAAAAATAATTTAATTTTTAAATTTATTTTGAAAAAAAATTGATCAAAAATATTGCAAAATTATAGAGAATCCGGAATGTAATTTCTATTTTTTGATGATAAAAATTAAATTATTTAACTACTAGCATTAAACTATTTATTTAATTTCTCTCTCTCATTTAATTATCATTTTTCCACAAAAAGCCCCTCTCTTTATTTAACTAATTTTTTAATATACTTTTATCTAAAAAATTTTACCTATAAATTCTTTTAAAATATTACTCCTTTCCAAATATTTATTCTCGAATTATTTATAAAAATGAATTTAATACAAAAATTTATTTTATTTTTATTTATTTTTAATTCAAAAATTAATTGCTTTAATAAATTTTCTAAAACAAAAAAATTAAATAAAATAAATAATCTTCCCGGTTTAGAAGCTGAAATTAATTTTAATCATTATTCTGGTTAGTTTTGGGAAGAAAAAAAATTTTCTATTTTTTAAGGTTATTTACAAGTCTCAAATTATCATTTTTTACATTATTGGTTTGTTGAATCACAGAATGATCCAGAAAATGACCCAATTGTTTTTAAATATTTTTTTATTTAAATTTAATTTTTAAAAAAGATTTTTTGGTTCAATGGAGGTCCAGGCTGTTCCTCTATGGATGGATTACTTAAAGAAATGGGCCCTTATTTAGTTAATCCAGATGGGCGTTCTTTAAGATTAAATAAATATTCATGGAATAAAAATGCTTCTGTTGTTTATATTGAATCTCCAGTAGGTGTTGGGTATTCTTATTCTGAAGCTTGGTCTTTAACTGAAATTGATGATGAACAGGTCTTGAGAGGAATATTCGGGAGTTAGATTTAAAAAAAATTTTTTTTAAAGACAGCCAAAGAAAATTATGAAGCAGTTAAACAATTCTTTGAAATATATCCTTCATTTCGAAATAATTATCTATTTATAAGCGGTGAGTCTTATGCTGGTGTTTATGTTCCTTCACTTTGTGCTTTAATTGTTGATGGACAAAATGAATATCCACTTAAATTAACTGTTAATTATTGGAGAATTTAAATTAAAAAAATATTTTTTTTAGGGAATGATGATTGGAAATGGGTATATGAATTCTAGATTAGATATTGATACAACTATTAAATTTGCTTATGCACACGGGTTAGTTGATGAAAAATTATGGCAATTAATGAGAGAAGAATGTTGTAATGGATGTTTTGGTAATTTTTTAATTAAAATTTTTTTATAATTATTTGATAAGATGGATGTGATTTAAGTATTATGTCAAATTATTTTTGTCAAAATAAGGTAAATATTTTTTAAAATAATTTATTGGATTGAGAAAATATTTTATTTATTTTGTCTTATTATTTAATAGAAAATTAAGCAAAACTTAATATTTAATGAAGGGTTAAAGCTTCACTTTTAAACTAGGGGTGTTTTAAAAGGATAAAGGTGAAAGATGCCCCGGTAGCTTAGTAGTAGAGCACCTTCATTTGTGTGGGCAAGGCCGAGCGATCATTGTCAGCGTTGCCACAGGTTCAATCCTGCCCATTGGCTAAACTTTTGCTAAACCCTTTCTAATAAAATTTACTTTTTAATATTTAAAAGGTTGAGGAAATTTTCGAATTTGTTTGGCTAGGTGGATTGAATCCTTATGATTTATATAGAGATTGTGGTAAGTTAAAGTTTTTATTTATAGAATTTTGTTTAATTTAGATGCATTCTCTCCTTTAAATTCACAAAAAATGCATGCACTAAGACGTGGTCTACTTCCGACAAAAATAAATGAAAGAATTGCAGCGAAAAGTATTTTGAACCGTAATACTCGAAGTGCTCGGTTTATTAATGTAATTAAATAATTATTAAATTAAAATTCGAGATAGTAAACTTCTTTCCAATTATTTATTCTTAAAATATAAGCTGGGAATTAAAATCCGAATAATTTTCGTTTAAATTAGTACCTTTAGATTCTTTTTTTAACGAAGTTTTTTATTAAATAAAAGTTAAAATTTAGAAGGATGATTTAAATAATGTAACAGAAGTCATTTCTAATGTTGCTACAGATCCAGGAATTCCTTGTTTAGATGGTAAGCTAATATTTAGATTGGATATCTTAATGAATTTATTTGGTTATCTTAATGAAGTATTATTTTTTGATATATTTATTTAAAAATTTTTTTAAATTGAATGATTAAAAATAGAATTATTCCAGATTCTGATGCAACAAGATACATGAATTTAAAGGAAGGTAGAATATTTGAATAAATAAAATTAATAATATTTTTTATATTTTCGAATTTTAAACAAGCTAAATCGCCTAAAATGAAATATTTACATATAGGAGCTAAGTTATTAGGAGCTCTTTTGTATTATGGAGATAATTAAGTGTTAGGAGATAATTAAGCTAATACAAACCATTTTATCAATTAAAAATTATTCAAAAAATAATTCATCTATTCCATAATTACAAACAAAATTTATTAAAATATTTATTAGTTCGGCAAGCACTTAACATTCCTTCACATTTGGGTAATTGGTCAATATGCAATGAGGATGTTAGCAATAATTATAATCAAATATATTGTATTAAATATAATTTTTTATTTTTAAAAAATTAATTTAAAGCTGATATGTCCCCATTTGTTAAAAAAGTATTGGGGGCTAAAGTTAAAACACTTTTGTATTATGGAGATACAGATATGGCTTGTAATTTCCTTTTGGGTCAACAATTTGCCTCACAACTTGGATACAGAGTAATTAAAAATGATTTTTCGAATTTTGGTCGCCGTCGGAATTTTATTCACCGAGACAACAAAATAAATTTAAAAATTAAGAATTCACTTTCAGAACTCACTTGAGAGAGTAGACATCTAGTTTGTCTGAGATAATGTCTGAATCTATTCATTTAAAGTATGACGACCCTGACGGATTTTTGTCAAAAACTCCGACCCGAACCCCGAAGGCTCTACCCCGACAAACCCCGATCCCCGACATACTCAAAAACAAAGGGTCGGTTGCTACCCTAATTTAAAATATTCGGCAAAATTTTATTTTGTTGTATAACGTATTTTGAAAATATGTGGGTATTTTACTTCCCGGTCAACAAAATTCCGACGATGACAAAATTTTTGTGACAGAGTGTTAAGTATTAAGTATATAATTAGGTAATAATGGATGCAAAACCGTGGAGAGTTGATGGACAGATTGCCGGATTTAAAACTAAATATACAAATGGATTAACCTTTATTACAAGTTTTTAAATAATTTTATTTATTTTAAAATTTTTAAATTTAAAGTTCGAGGCGCTGGACATATGGTTAAATTTAAATATATTCCCATTAGTTCCAAAAATATTTTTATTTTTAAGGTACCGGAATGGAGAGCCCCTCAAATATTTTACGCGATACAAAATTTTTTAAATTATGGGGAAGTTTAAATTAATTAAAAATTGTTATTAAAAATAGTTAAATAAAAATATATCTTTTATTTTTTCTAAAAAATATATAAATTCTAATTAATTATCAAAAATTACATATTTGCTTTTTTAAGCATTACCGAAGGCATTAATTTTGATTTTTCATTTGTAGGCTTAAAAATAAAATTGAAAATAATTTTTTAAATTAAAAAATACCTTCATTTCTGTAAATTCTAAATGTTCAATATTTGAAGAAATCTGAAAATTAATTAATTTTGTTTTTAATTTTTAAGAATTTAATAAAGTTTGAAATTTAATAAGTTTAGAATTTAATAATTAAGAATTTGATAAGTCTCCCTTAATCCCTTAATATTCCCGATTTGGCGGCTAGGATACTTTTGAAATTTATTATCAATTAGGAGGAATTGCCTAGGCTAGAGGTCACCCCCCCCCCACATTTTAAGCTAAAATATTTAAAAGTGAGGTTAGATAAATAATTACTCTTGTTGTAAACTCATAATCTTCAGGCACATCAAAGAAATTATCGTCACAGTAGACTTTCGAATCAGGAACGTGTGTAAGCCAATTAAGTTTTAAAATGAGACCTGAAAAAAAAGATAAAAATTTAAAAAAAATATTTAATTAATACCAGTAATTGCCCCAACAACTCCGGCTAACAAAAGGGTTACAACAAGACCACAAAGTTGGAAAAGTGCTTGTTGGGATTGGGTTCGTCCAGATTGAATAATTCTTGAACTAAAATTATAATCTTTTAAATTAATTTAAAAATAATTTGCCTTTCCGGATAACTTCCATCTTTGTAGCAAAGAAGAACTATTGCACTAGCCAATACTCCAATCATTCCTATAAATTTCGAATAATCATACTTTTAATCTTAAAATACCGGGCATTGCATGTAAATTATTTACACCTCTTGTATCGCTAAATCCGCATTTCTTTTCGAGGATTGGCTAAAATTTAAATAAAAATAAATATTTTAAAAATATTTTACAGAAATAAAAATATATCCAAAAACAGCAACAGCCCCGCTAACAACCCCTATAGCTAAAGCATCGAAAGGTGCCAAAAGAATATTAGCACAAGCACCCAGAGCAACTCCACCCGCTAATGGGGCATTAACCAAATGGCGAACATTGAAATTCTTAAAAATAAATTAAAATTGAGGGAAAATTGTAAATATTACCTCTTTTTTGTTGTAAAAAGAGGAAACAACAAAAGCAGTAATTGTACTACCAATTAAGGATGTGTATGTATTCACAATTGAACGATTACGGGCATCTGCTCCGAATGCATTTGCGGCATTGAAGGAAGGCCAAAAGACCCAAAGAAAGCCGGTAGCTAATTTTTTGATAATTTTAATAAATTTTGGGTTAAAATAAATTAAACAAAATTAAAATAATATTAGCAACTCAAAGTTAACAATAATTTAAAAAATAATTTTCTAATTAATTGTATACCAGGGATATGTGAGAACAAAATCGGATCGGGTTTTCAAAATCTTTTTCTGATCGGGGGTTTCGGGTAACCCATCCCATCCCTGTTATATACTTACCAACAAAAGTAAATATATCAGAATGATAAACACTCCCCAAATGTTCGCTGTCTCTCCATGTTTTAGTAAAAAGTACTCGTCCAGCAATTAATCCAAAAACAGCCCCAAAAACGTGAATAATCATTGAACTTAAATGAGAGAGATTGTTTCTGTAAATATTTCAATTTACCCTCCCAAATCTTGAACTCCAAGTATTTTGACAACAATATATTCGTTAAAGATCTGTCAAGAATTAAGAAGTTCTCAAAAATATTTTTTAGAAAAATTACAGAAAATGGGGCTTCAATTAGAGCCATAAGCAAGTATTGCATTGGAGACAATTTACCACATAAAGCTCCAAAAGAGATTAAAACAACTGCAGCTGTGTAGTCAGCATTAATTAAACTAAGTTAAAATTAACAAGAATTTTTAGTTTAGAAGTTATTAAAAAATTAATTTTTGAATATTCTCACTTTTGTAGATTAACGTAAAATTTTCCATAGAGGGCAAATTCATCAGTTAAAAACCCTCGAACAAGTAGCTAAAATAATTTTTATTGTCATAATTTTCCAATTAAAAACCAACAGCTAATTCTAAAGTAAAAGCCGTTAACATCATTGACATTGTAAACGATCCAAATCCATATCGACGAACAAAAACAACCAGAAACCCAAAACCAACAAGAAGTATAGAATGAACATCTTGGAAATCTTCAAAAAAAAATAAAATTGTTTTAAGAAAATAATTCAGAAAAGAAAAATAAAAAATTTAATTAATTTTTTTTATTGAATAATTACCCTTGATAAATTATCTTTTAACCTCTCAATAAATGGGATAATTATTCAAGGGAGGGCAATTATTCAAGTTTTGAAATTTAAGTGTTGTAGGGCATCTGAAAGAGGGAGATTATCTTTTTAACACCTCAAGAGAACGTTATATAGTGATGTCAGAATAGTTATAAATGCCAGCTAAGCGTTAGTCTAGTTGGATCATACTAGCGGGGCTAGTCACCGATCTCCGGTGTGTTTCCAGCTCTCTCAACCTTCGTCTTCATTGTTCACACCGGATAAACTGTTATTCTTGTGCACGTCGACATTAGTTAAATCTCGGATAACCCTCGGACATAACAGAGTTAGTTAATTATTAGAGGGGTAATTATTCGAGAGAAGGGCAATTAACGTTAAAATATGGCAATTAAACACAAATTTTATTTTTAAACTAAAGCAAACCAGTTAATTTTTTCTGTGATTCTTGTATCAAAACAGAACCGATTGGAACTGATGAAGGAAGGGCATTAGGATCGTGTTGTGAAAAAAGAGCAAATAAAACTAAGAAAAATAATTGGGCAATTCCAAGTAAAACACAAAATTGGTTGTGTGGAAGTTTAACTGTGGCCTAGAAATAATTCCGAAATATTAAAAAACTAAATTATTAACTCTAAAATATTAAAGTAGGTATATCAAAGAGATTAATTTTAAACAGGGAACTTAACAGGGGAATTTGATAAAAGTAATAATTCTTGCTAATATTATAACCTGAATGTGAATATTTTTTTATTTACATTAAAAGAATAACAGATTAAATTATCAAATTTATTTTTAATTTTTCTACCATCAAAAGCAAAACAAGCAGAAACATAGCCGGAGAGACTAAAATAAGCCCCTCAGTGAGATATGTAGAAAATGTTGCTTTCATTGTTTTTATTTAATTTTTAGGGATTAATTTAAAAATAAAATTATTCATTAAAAGTGGATCTCTATTTATCTATAAATTAAAGATATGCATAAAGCAAAATTTTATAAATGAGAGAAATTCTCAAGCTTGTAAAGAATTTTTGTGTTTTAAACGACTCCAACAACTTCTTAAGAAAGATAAATTTTAATTTTTGGTTTTTCTTAAATTTATAAACAAAAAATTAATTAAAAAAATAAAATAGCCTAGAATGTTTCAGCGATTTAAACTGGTTCAAATAACTACAAAAAATAATTTTTTGATGTGAGTAAAGTATGCGAATTAGAATAAAATATTTCTGTATTTTAGTTTAATTTTTATAAAAACAATAATTAATCGCCAAAAATTTATTTGTAAGTGTTTAATGTTAAAAAAGAGCAAAAACAAGATTTAATAAAAAAAAGGAAATATTTTGGATGTTTTATTAAATTGTTTACAATGTCACTCACTCACACATGCATGTTATCGAGAATATTAGTTGAAGGAGGGAAGGGAGGGAAGGGAGGGGAAATCAAAGGGAAATTGACGGAAATGTTAACCCCAAAATGTCAACATTTTTATTTACAGCCGAAAAAGTGTTTTTCTACTTTCCCTTTGAGAATTGTGATATTTTGGATTCACAAATAAAGTGTGAAAGGACGTGTGTGACTATTTATTGATTCCTTCCTTTAGCGGTTGTTTTTAGTATTTCGCGTGTAGATCAAAGGAAGAATAAATTGAGAAATTAAATAAATAAATACTCTACCAAAAATATCAAGTTTTGATGATTCACAGAAAATAAACAGAGGCACTCTTGCCTATCTTAGAAGCTTTAATCAAGAGTAAGGTCATAAATACCCTTTAATAATTTCTTGAGAATATTTACTCTCTTATCTTGATAAAATTTTGCGTTAAAAAATTTTCAACTTCGCCTGCATCCCTGAAAAATTAGTGTACATTTACCAACCGCTCTTATCGATATAAGGGTCCCTCGCATAGAGTTGGCGAATTCAGATAAATTTTCGGTTCGGATATCGCATCCGGATATCCGAAGATTTCTAACTATCTGACAACCTTGCTCTTGAATACATATCCCTTCCATAATAATACCCAATTGGTTTAAGCTTATTCAAATGTAACTAACAGAATTTATTTCACAGATAAATAAATAATTGGTTTGTACATAGTAAATACATATTTAATTAAGATTAATTATTTATCTTCTTTATTTATCAGAGGAAGCTGTACTGATGGCTGAAAGGAGGAGGAAGGTTTGAATATTGCAGAGGTAACAGTTTTTGGTATTATTCCAAATGCCATTTTCTTTAAATTTTCAACTTTTGCTTTAATTGGATTAATTTCCTCAAAAATTGCTAAAATAATATTTTATATTTAATAAAAATTAGGGTATCTTTACCTTCACTAAATTCGTGAGCATTTTCATAACATTCTTCCCATCCACCCCATTTAGGGAAAGTAATTAAATATTCCCCAGAAATTATTAAACTATGAACAGATTTTTCTTCAAAAATTTTATTATCTTTTTTAACTTGTAAATTATAAATTTGGCTATATCCGTTACTATTAATTAAACGGATGGAACATTTGTTCTGTTTATCCACAATTTCATAATCTGTCAACTAAATTTAAATAAATTTAAATTAATTTAGAGGAAATATTTTATAGGAAAAAAGGTAGAATGATTTGCTTTGAAATTTTGATTTTTATTCGAACTCATATCTTCTAGCACCTACATGTTTGGCTAGTTTTATGTCCTTGGGTCCGGACTAACCTAGGGACTAACAGAATAACACAAGTATATCCGAATAATAAATACAAGAATAACGAAGGTGGCAAAAGGCAAGAATGACTAAGGACAGACCGAGACTGATCCCCACTAACTCCTTTTACTAGACCTCGTACTCGTGCTTTTGCCAAATACGAATACAAATTTTGAAACGTTTATATATCCAACCACTAGTAAAGTGTTAATTTTTTTGTTTTCTCATTTTAAAATTATTAAATTTCTTACATTTTCGTAAATTTCTTTTAAAAAATTAATTTTTGGAATATTTTTGCATAAACTTCCTTTTAATATATTTAAATAATAAATTCTAGAATTTTCAACATTAATTAAATAATAATTTTTAAATAAATAAATATCAACATTTTCTACTTCCTTCCCATTCTCCAAAAATATACATTCATCTCCATTTAATTTTATTACCAAATTATTTTGAAATTTTGACAAAATATTATTTGAAAAATAAATTATAATTATTAAAATAATATTTTTAATAAATTTCATTTTTTGGTTGTTTTAATTAAAATAAATAATTTTTTAATTAATTAAACATTTATATATAATAAAATTTATTCTTAAATTTTCGGAAGGAAATTAAGTGCATTCATAAGATAAAAATTTTTTAGAGGGGGAAAATTTCTAAATTTTAATTTTAAATTTTTTATTGGGTGCACTTTTAATAAATGTATTTCCGTTTTTTATAAATAAATTAATTTTAAAAAAGTTCTAAGCATGACCGGATATTGGAGTGCATATATACTTATTTTGTGTCCCACAAAACTGAAATTCTCAAATAAATAATAGGTGGAATAAATCTTGAATATAACACGATTCTATCAACATAAAGATACATCTCCAGTCGCGAATTTACATCTCGAGTAGCGTCAGGAAAGAACGTTGAAAAAAGGAGGATTTTCTTAATAAAGGAGGAAAAAAGGATTTTCTCTCCTGTTTCCCATTATCCCTGAAGAATTTTTATCGCATTATACTCTCAGTATAGTATTAGATTTAAGGATTTTTGTAACTTCCTTTTCCATATTAAAATTCTTCTCAAATTTATTAGGATATTAATTAATAATGAAATTTCAATTATTTTTAACACCTATTTCTGCAACATTATTATTTTTTCATTCGATTTAAAAGGATTAAACAGAAAACATTAGTCGTCGCCCCGGTAGCTCAGTGAGCACACCTGCAGTTGTGTGAGCAAGGCGACTGTCAGCGCTGTCACAGGTTCAACCGGTGGCTAAACTTTTTAAAACTATTTCTTTAATTACTTTTGCAAAATGATTTTCTGTTCACCATTAGAACCTCATTCCATTTTAACTTAAATTTCTAAATATACATATTTTTAGCATGAATCTTTTTAAAATTAAACGAGTCGTAATTTATATAATTATTAAACATAATTTATTAAATAAAAATTTAAATATTTAATATACAAATAATTTATTTTTTAAATTAAAATATAATTTTTAAAATTAAATCCATTCTTTATTCAACTTTTTTTCGTTTTTCATTTTCTTCATTTTTATTTTCAGTCTCCTCATTATTTCTTTTACGCTCATTAATAGTTAAATTTGTTGATAAAGATGTCGCTTATAAAATATATTAAATTATTTAAATTTTTTTAAAGACAAACCTTTACTTTTATTATTTTCCCAATTTTTACAAATTAACAAAAGTTTTTCTATTCTCATTTTTCTAGTATCTGTAAAAATAAATATTTAAAATTAGTTTTTAAATTTTATTTAAATTAACAAAATTATGATTAGAAATATAATTAATTAGGTACTTTTCAGTTATACTAAGTGCCAACCACTAACTAAGTGCCAACCACTAACTAAATGCCAACCGAATTTGATCGGTTATAACTTTTTGATGATTGATTCGAGTATCTTTTTTCCAACTTGATATATCAAGTCTGATCACCCGTTAGAAAGTTATAACTCGATAAAAGTGAAAAATATCAAATAACTGGACTTTTCGGGTTATAACTTTTTAAAGACTGATCAGATTTGATCTATCCAATTAGAAAAAATTCGTTGTGTATTGGATCAAGCATTAAAAAGTTTAAGTCGATCAAAATCGCTTGGCACTCTGCTAATCGCTAGGCACTAATTAATTTCAGAAATAATTCATATAAATTTTCTTTAAATTAATCTCTCACGCTCTAAATGCTCCTTCCCTTCATTATTATAAATTTTATCTTCAAATAAATCCCAATTTTTATAGACACATTCAATTTCTTTTTTATTTTCATTTTTCCATAAAATATTTCTAAATTCTTCAATATTTTTAATCCTTTCATTAAAAATTTTTTCTTTTCCATTTAATTCAAAAATTTCTTTTCCAATATTTGTTATTTTATTTAATAAATTTAAACGATTTATATAAATATCTACTTTTTGGTTATTTATTAATTTGATTTTTTTATTTATTTCTTTTCGTTTTTTATTTATTTTTGATACTAAAATCATCCATTTTCTGCTTTTTTCTAACGATTCTGGTTCATAATCCTCTAAAGAATCTTCTTCAGAACAAGATTCATCTTCCCTATTTTCATTCTCGAAAATTGATATTTTAATGTAATTTGGTCTGTTATTTTTAATTTTTCTTTTAAAAGAATATATTTCTGGCTGTAAAAGAAAATATAATAGTATGTACATATATAGGTATTTAATTAATAAATTTCTACGTCTAAATTTATAATTGAATATTTGTATCGCTAGCATTGTAAGAGAGCATTTAAAACGCTTAGGCGGAGGTTAAACGATCTAAAAGGATAAACGATAAAGCATTAGTCGATACCCCGGTAGCTCAGTGGTAAAGCACCTGGATTTGTGTGAGCGAGAGCGCCTAGCATTAACTGTCAGGAGGTGTTAGGAGGCGGAGGCAATCCTGCCCGGTGATTAAACTTTTGCTAAACTCTTTCTGCATATCTACCTCCTACTCGATTCCAAATTATTCATCCTAATATTATTAAAAACAGTCCTATCTCGATATCACGCCTTCCATATCACGTCCCTTCCTTCAAAACTCGATTTTAAAGGTGAATCTTAACGAGATTCTATGAAATACTAAAATAATTACATACATTTATTCCAAATTTTTTCCCATTCCATAATCCAGTTACTTGTATTTCTATATTAAATTCATTCTCTCCTTTAGTTTCCATCATTT